GAAGTTGAGATGTCTAAGTCCTTCAACGATATAAGATCTCCACTCAATTGTCGTCTTCCAGGTCTTCTTCATGTACTCCTCAGCCTTGCAGCAAGCAGACAGGTAATGCAGGGCCATGACATTCACGGACCACGGTACCTGAAGGTATCATGACGTACAGATGCACGAGTATGAGCCTTACTTGCATCTTCTTAATAGCACTGGCATCCTCTGCAGTGGGACACACAACCGAACCCAGTCTGATACCAGGACAAGCCCAGATCTTGGTCCACGAGTGGATCACATAAACCTGACAATCAACAACTTGTAATAATCTCCAACAATGCATAACTAGAGTAAACCATTCAATCCACTCATGAATCATCAGTCATATGAACGACGAAAGCCCACAAGAGCCTACACTGATGCCTCTGGTTCTCTGTATCTCCTGCATGAACTCCTTCTGACTAGTTAAAGAGTCTGAGCGCCACTCAGGACCCATCCACGGCTGCATAGACTCATCGACCACCACCCAACTGTTATCGTCACACATCTTGCTGATGTACCTGATGGCCAAGTAAGTCATAGCACAACATCATTTCCACTCATAGACATACTCTTTTATCTCCTCGACATGCATATAGTCACCAGTGGGGTTGCATGGATTCACGATACTGGTCAACTTAGCGCCACCATCGAGATCAGACCAACCCAGCTCGTTGCGACCAGCATTAGTAGCAGAGCGACGGTACTCTTGGTATTGGGTGGCGAACGGGCCTAAATGTCACAGAAACTAGACTGAGAAGTCAAGTGGATGGAAAAAGGCACACATGCAGATCCCTTGAATTGTGAAACGGTTGAGAGATTCTCGACAATAATCAGTTGAAACGAAGATTCTCGGCGCTCACCTGGTCTCCATGGACCCTTCGGGGCAAGTCTAGATATCATATCAATCATTTCGCTGGCGCCATTGCCCAATAGCAAGCGAGAGCGAGTGTCAGAACAGTCTTCGGGAGATAGGAACTTTGCTAGATCAGTGATGGCAGGCTCGAAGTCACTCGGAGGGTAATGCTCAATAGCTGACAGAAGAACACCTTCACCGCGCCAGGAGATTGCCAACCTTACTGAGCAGCGCCTCCTTAGCAGCTTCCAGTGCTTCTGGTACCGGCCCGAGTCCATTGGTCGTGACCGAGAAGTCCTCGACAAGATTACTAATCTCCGACCACTCCTAACAACAAGAATAATTGCCACTACCAATCAACAACATAATCTACCTGGCCACCATGAGGTGTCTGCGTCTTCAAATCCCACTTGCTCACCTTCTTACTATCATCATCAGGAGATGCCAAGAACTCACTACTAGTCGCTGTAGTCTCAGAGAGATCCGATGCTCTAGACGGCTGAACACAGATGGACAATGCAATAGATAGACGACAGATGAGGAGGAACCTACACTCTTGTGCAAGGTGGTGAAGTCCTCCTCCTCCTTCTTCTCGACAAGCATCTCCGTAACGTCCCTAGTGTTAATAGTGTTCATGTTGTTGACTGCTTTATATAGAGTGATAGGCACAACGAGCTCTGGTGAAGGATCGACTGATTACTCCGTAAACTTCTGGTTGCATAAAACAGGTTCTCGCTTCCGAGCGGAACCCTGCGAGAACGGTAAGTAAAACTGATGAAAATACAATGTTCACCGAAAACACCCAGAATACACAAGACGATGTGAGCACGAGGAACGTGAATTCAATACTAATCCGATTAGGAAGGGGAAGAGCAACCATCATATTTCTTCACATGGCGAGCAGCAGCAGCATCATCAAAAGTAGACCAAGGAGAACGCCATATCATACTCACCACATACTGTAAGATTCACCTTCACTGCGCCACAAAATTGCCCACAGGCTCCCTCCAGAGCGATAGCTTCATCCACGAGCAAGAGAGGGCACTTCTACCACAGAGCCAATCATGATGAAGTCAATAAGACGACGACGTTACTGATGTTTATCCTTACTCAGAACCGACAAATGCCTTGGCTAAAATGCGGTTAAGCTCAGGTTGAGTACCGCCAAAACCCGCTGGGGATGGATGTCGACATGAACTTCAACTTTACATCTAGTTGAAGTGTCTCAATTTCTTTCTAGCCTGCTCAGACGCTCCATGCCCCAACAAGCGCACACGTGTTGCGATCACATTGTGGGTTTGTGACGATGCACATCTGCGCAGTCGTCACAACATTATCGGTTACGCACAAAGCCGCAAGATTATTAGACCACAATTCTCACAAATCATCATAAGTGTTTCTCGGTCTATTATCGAACCCACGACACACGACCGTCCTCACGGTCACAGGAGAGCTCTCTATCGCTCTCACTTCCATGAAAGGCGGTGCACGTGGCAAGCACTTCGACCGTTTCAAAATGTGCGGCCTTCGACAACAAAGTGCAACGAGGTCCTCCACAACCAACTCATCTCGATGCAACCCGACAACTTGGAGCGAGGCTCCATGTTTTTCACGACCCAAGAATCCTAATAATATCATACGCGCTTCTACGCCCATCGGGACACGTCTCAACACAGCCAGCTGAACAAAGAGCTAATCGATTGCCACGGTGTAGCGAGAACCGCATAATTATACAACACAAGGATTGTCCCTTCACGTCGCCATGAGTGCGGTAAATATCGAGTGCTTTGAGCATTGCAGCCGCTATTGAGGGGACTGTGAGAACTTCGCCAGGTCCAAGCCCGATCATTCGGAATGGAGAGGACTTGATGTCTTTGCGGAAACCGCTCAGAAGATGTTCCAATGCGTATTCAGTGAGAACCTCAGCAAGTCCAGCATGTACTTACTCCAATTGGTGGACCGCTCGACACAACTTCACTCTCCTGCAAACCCAAGTTCGATTCCTGGCCAGAGTACTTTTCCGTCGTAATAAATGAAGCGACTGGATGCGGGCAGCGGGGCATTTCCTCGAGGAGATATCTGTCCAGCCATTGGACACTTGAACATAGCCCTCTCGACATCCTCCAGTGATTCACGAATACTTACATAACAATTTACAGGGTATTTATGTACACCAACATCTCAGCACCATACTACCGAAAAGCAAAATCTACAAAAGCTACGCATCCACACCTTCGAAGCGTTTCAACCCAACAACCGATCCCGATTGGACCCACTTGGTCACACCAGGAGATATATGTTGGCAAAGTTCCAACACCTTATCTCCATGAACACAATCTGTTCACAGACAAAGGTTGTGAACGCTTTCTCTCTTATCTGAGCTCGATTACCTCCTTCTCAAGACCAGCAACCATTTTCTTCCGCCGTTGACCTCTCTCTTTTCGGACTTGCCAATACCAACAATTTTAGACACCTCCTAGTAAGAATTCATGTCACTCAACTTATGTATTATTACCACATCTCCTATCCTAAACACAACTCCCAATAGCCATAATTCCAAAGCTTTGCCCTCCTTCCTAAGCTCCAGCTCCGCTTTGTTGGTTTCGAGCCAATATGAAGTATGGTTGCACGGCAATTTCTAGTAAAGGCAGCTTACACCTAGGCTAAGGTCGAGAGCAACCCTAAAATAATCAAGCCTTGTGTTTTAGTGATGATCGGAGTTACTAGACCTTTGCTTCATCATCGTTTGCTTTATTGCGCATCATCATTTTTACTCAAAACTCTGACTACGATTTCGCTAATTCGCGCTTGAAATAGTCCAGAACCGACGCGACCAAACGAACTCCGTAGACTGTAAAGACCATAAAAGGCAACGAGGGCTCAGCCACTCACTCAACACGGCGATGTTCACGGATGCTTCATTCCATTCATGGATATCATTGAATAGCATCTAGTCGACAAACATGTCGAATACTCATCGTAGCTTCACAAAAATAATCATCCTTCCAACACACAGCTCTGTCTTATGCAACGTTGCTCTAAATAAGGATGGGGGCATCAGTAGTAGCTTCAGTAGTAGCGTCAATGGGACCTTCAGTAGTAGCCTCGATAGAGACCTCACTAGTAGCATCTACAGCGGCTCCAGTAGTAGCCTCCACAGCGGCTTCAGTAGTAGCCTCCACAGCGGCTTCAGTAGTAGCCTCCACAGCGGCTTCAGTAGTAGCCTCTACAGGGGCTTCAGTAGTAGCCTCTACAGTGACTTCAGTAGTAGCGTCAGTGGGGTCTTCAGTAGTAGCTTCTACAGGAGCTTCAGTTATCGCCTCTACAGGGACCTCAGTAGTAGCATCAATGGGTACCTCAGTAGTAGCCTCTACAGAGGCTTCAGTAGTAGCCTCTAGAGGGGCTTCACTAGTAGCCTCTAGAGGGGCTTCAGTAGTAGCCTCTACAGGGGCTTCAGTAGTAGCCTCTACAGGGGCTTCAGTAGTAGCCTCTACAGTGACTTCAGTAGTAGCGTCAGTGGGGTCTTCAGTAGTAGCTTCTACAGGAGCTTCAGTTATCGCCTCTACAGGGACCTCAGTAGTGGCATCAATGGGGACCTCAGTAATAGCATCTACAGGAGCTTCAGTAGTAGCCTCTAGAGGGGCTTCACTAGTAGCCTCTAGAGGGGCTTCAGTAGTAGTCTCTACAGGGGCTTCAGTAGTAGCCTCTACAGGGGCTTCAGTAGTAGCCTCTACAGGGGCTTCAGTAGTAGCCTCCCTAGGGACTTCAGTAGTAGCGTCAGTGGGGTCTTCAGTAGTAGCCTCTACAGGGGCTTCAGTAGTAGCGTCAGTGGGGTCTTCAGTAGTAGCCTCTACAGGGGCTTCAGTAGTAGCGTCAGTGGGGTCTTCAGTAGTAGCCTCTACAGGGGCTTCAGTAGTAGCGTCAGTGGGGTCTTCAGTAGTAGCCTCCCTAGGGACTTCAGTAGTAGCGTCAGTGGGGTCTTCAGTAGTAGCTTCTTCAGGGGCTTCAGTTATCGCCTCTACAGGGACCTCAGTAGTAGCATCAATGGGGACCTCAGTAGTAGCACCTACAGGGGCTTCAGTAGTAGCATCTACAGGGGCTTCAGTAGTAGCCTCTACAGGGGCTTCAGTCGTAGCCTCTACAGGGGCTTCAGTAGTAGCATCTACAGGGGTTTCAGTAGTAGCCTCTACAGGGACTCCAGTTGTTGTGAAGGCCAACAGAGGTGTAACAGTCGTAGTGGTAGCATACTCCGTGGGTGCTCCAGTCGCAGAAGACTCTGCAATAGGAGCTTCAATGGTAGTAACCACAGCAAAGGTGCTGGTGGTAGTAGCTTCAACGGCCTCAGCGGTCACATCCGTGGGAGCTTCAGTAGTAGACCAACCTTCTGGGTATTCAGTTTTCGTATTGTCAGGATTCGTGTTGGGATTATCACATTTGCCGTTCTTGCAGTGAGGCCTTGTGGGCATCGTAGGCCTAGTGGGCATCGTAGGCCTAGTGGGCATCGTAGGCCTAGTGGGCATCGTAGGCCTTGTGGGCATCGTAGGCCTTGTAGGCTCAGTGGGCCTTGTGGGCTTGGTAGGTCGTGTAGGCTCCGTAGGCCTTGTGGGCTTCGTAGGCCGTGTGGGCTCAGTGGGCCTTGTGGGCTTCGTAGGCCTTGTGGGCTTCGTAGGCCGTGTGGGCTCAGTGGGCCTTGTGGGCTTCGTAGGCCTTGTGGGCTTAGTAGGTCGTGTGGGCTCAGTGGGCCTTGTGGGCTTCGTAGGCCTTGTGGGCTTAGTAGGTCGTGTGGGCTTCGTAGGCCTTGTGGGCTTCGTAGGCCTTGTGGGCTTCGTAGGCCGTGGTGCGTCAGTCGTAGTGAGGATAGGAGCTTCAGCGAGAATTGGAATAGTAGGAGCCTCAGTAGTAATAGCCGTGATGACGTCCATTAATAGCCTCGCTGGGGATCCGGTAGCATTAACCGCCTTATGGTCATCAGCAGCGACCTGCCAGAGGCTGACGGCAGAGAGAGCGAAGCGGAACATTTAGTGAGAATCTGAGTACAAGATAGTCTCCTTATTCATTCACCAAAGTAGCTGCGTAGGGTAAGATGAGAATGAGGTTGTTGTGCAGTCGCGAGAGCTAACAGTTTCAGATACGCTTCCTGTCGCGCGCCCAGACGGTTTTATTGTGGATTTTTCTCATTGTGCGGTAATCCAACAACACCCTTCCACGACGGCTTTCCCGCGGGCTCCAGTCTGAATCGATCTAATTGCACTATTCAACGAAGTACCCATTCGCTGGTTATATCCCCGGATATCGTCGCTTGCGACTATCTTCACTCCTTCCTGGTACAGCACGAGTCTTATTTTCAATGCAACTTCGATTATGAACCTTCCTCAAAATATCCGCCACATGTAACACATGATAAAGAACATGTGACGTGTTTCGAACGTATCCCCACTGAGCATGTCACTCCTCGTCCCATCAAAAACGTCACTAACAAAACTAAACACTCCGCAATAATAGCAGAAAAACACTCATCAGAAACATCAATCATTCGTTCAACTTAGTAGCTCGGAAAACTCCGTATCTAAAACAAAGCACTTGATATCAAATCCGACTGCAACTAGCTACCGCATCACACCATCCCTGAACGCCTCGTGCATCCTCTCAATTGTAACGATCTCTCGTATGGTCGACCACCACACTCGCGGCCTGAACATCGAAACCCTGTCAACAGCAGGCTCAAGAGGGGCCATCACCGACCCGCGGATAATAACAGGCCAAGGCCACCAAACGCCGACAAAAATGGAATGTCGCCAACTCGGCAGTGTTTGAGGCGTCCAATCTGCGGATTCGACTCCTTCCATCGAGAGGGGATTTCTGTGAGGATAATCACAAACACTCCATTTCATGCTACTTACTTTCGTAGTATGTCCTCATACTTCTCTATAGAAATGAACATTGGATGAGACCATTCTTCGTATAGGAACCGGAGTAGCCACCTGAAAGTCATCTATCCACAGTCATGTATGAGCGCCTCAAATCTTCCATAGTTCTTTGAACGCTAGTAGCGTTACGCTACATAACCTCAAGCGCTTTGGGTTTTAGGTAAAGATTGATGTAATATCATTTAACAACTTTGCTACTAATTAGTCCTTCTACCACTAATATTATGATATGCAATACCCAACAGAGCGATGCATAAGGTATATTCATTATTATCGTGTGTGTGTATCTCCTCATATTTCATCTTCCATGGAGTTTCTGTCTACGACATCCCGAACGAACTTGTTACCGATATTTTTCAGGTAAGTTTTTATTTAATCATTCTGCTAAATACATTCACCATCACATTTCCTCTCAGAAATTCCCACTTTTGATGATCCGTCAGAGATTTCCGATCGTCCTTTTCACACCAAGTGGCAACGATTAACCGACCACCAGGCTTCAACACTCGACACATCTCTTCGATGTATCTGAATACAACGCTGATAAAAAAAGTCACTGCGCCACGAAATTATCCCACTTCGCTTTATCAGGCACATGTTCACCGCACTCACAAGACCAGATCAAGTCGTAGGAGGCGTCGGGAAACTCCATCCGGAGAGCATCCATTTTCCTGAAGATTCAGGAATTACCGCGCGCCACGAAATTAACGACGACACCAACTTGAAAGTCACATTATTCAGACCAGCTTCTCTGCTTAGCTCAGAGGCTCTCTCCACTTGAGCATCAGATAGTGTTATTCCAGTAACCTGATAACAGCAACCCCTATACAATTAGCTCAACGTAGAGAACATAATTTTCATCGAATTAGAAAGAATAAATGGAGATTCGAGTTCAACTTGAGCAAGAGACTATTCCGTGTTAATCAGACTGACTCGACCGTTATTGATACACAATAACGAGGTAGCCTTCCTACTTGGACAGCTTCACCATAGCGCTTAGCCATTATACGGCTACTACCACCAATACCACAACCAACATCCAGGATACGCAGTGTTGAATCTGAGCCCATACAACTACCGTAAATTCACTTGCTATGATGCATGGTGATTCACTAATATCATCCACGAATGATAACACTATTTTCTGAGCCTCACGATTCGATGGTAACCGCTCCAATAAGTATTCTATCTATCACTACACCCACCTTTCTCAGTCATCTCCTTCACTGCAGCATCAAAGCCTCCCCATGTGAGAAGGTCGTCAACAAACGTAAACTTCTGTTCCTTGAACATAGTCGTTCTCGCCCTAAACAGTGAGAGCTCAGCAAGTTGGGATAACAACATTGATATTATAATAGTGCAACTCAGATGAAGTATTACGACAGAGAATAAGTCAACCACGAGTACGAGGAACCAGTGCGAAAACCATAAATACGCAAGCTCCCTGTCGCTGCCACGTTCGAGTAAATCGTCCTATGGTCGGCGGAACTGTTCTATTGAATTCACATCAGGAGAGCAAGCTCATGAAGTTGCCGTTGTATAGGAGAATATAGGAATGCTTTGAAATCCATACGAGGCGAAGCTGCTGTTGCTTAAGAATATGAAATTATTCTAGTTTTATCACTCAGTATGACAGCCTAAGAATTAATTATTAGTGCCTTTCTATTAATTCGACCAATCAATACCAGCCTACCTCTGGTTCCAACATGTGCACTTCACCAGCGCCTCAATGAATCCATCATCGCGATGGAACCAGCCCTTAGCCTCATCACTGATGTATGCTCCCAAATGTATGTGCTCGCCCCAATACGTCTCCACTAGCCCTACAGTGTAGGAGGGATATATGCATATGGTCAACTACATTACAATATGGAAATCGAGAAGAAATTTCTGGAAATTCCCACTGATTCTTTAACATTTCTAGCCCGATTAGTGAGGAAACTGCTGAGCTCAGCCGAGAAAACCAGACATATATTGCAATACTGCCCTACAGTGTGGGAGGGGGGGGGGAATACATGCACATGGTCAACTATAAGAAAATTGAAACTATGGGGAACTTCATGAGGTTTTTGTTAACTTCTACCCAAAACCGTTTGTGGATTTTCATAATGCATTAAGAAAACTCACGAGCTCAGTTGAGTAAACCAAAGATATATTCCCACACTGCACAACCTACCACATAAGAGACCAGTATCAGCCTACCATCATTCGTCCACTTATCATATTCATTCCCAACTCCACCGTTTGGTCGATACCTGATCACAGATCCAATCTCGGAGTGTTTGAGAAATGTTGAGAGCAACTTCAAATTTACAATCTTCTGCCGAGGCCTATTATTTTTCTGGTTGCGTCTGCGTGCCAGTATGCATATGAACTAGAAAGTTAAAGTTGCTCTCAACATTTCTCCAGCAGGGAAATAAAATGTCCGAATTTTTGATGCTTCCAGACCACTGAATTCCATGGACTTCACTGCATTAGAAAATGCCAATATATATGTTATATTAATGTTGTTTATCGACTGTCTCAGAAAAAAAATGTAAAATTTGCAAAATGCGCGCGCCTGGTCAGTTGCCATAATTTCGCCAAATCAACATAAGCGTATTTTTTCTCGAAAAAACAATTTTCTTTCTCATCAAATTTTCAGGATATGGAGCTGAAAACTTCCCTACCAGATCTGGGAAAGTTTAACCTTCCTTTTTTATAAAAATGTTCGAAATTAACTTATCGGGATTTTTAAATTAACCATTTACCCAGAAATTTCATACACCAATTCGAACAGCAATCATGGCCAACTCGGGGTGATGGAAATAAACCCGATTGTTATACTCCTTCATAAATCTCGATAATACCAATGACGATATAACTATTAATTATAATATCATATATGAACATCAATAAGAGAATATAGATCTAATTATGTTATAAATAATGATATTAGTATCCTTTCACATGAGTGTACTAATAAGAGTAATAAATAATAATAACCCGGAATCCATCTCACGGTCGCGATCCCTTCTGCAGCAGTGCTTGATAAGCCCATTTAGACGCCAATGCACAGACCAATACGGCAAGGGAGAGTAGATGATGGTGAACAACGAGAAGATAAAATGGTATCAACATCCACATGTTATGTAACCTATACATTATCATCATCAGCAGCAGCAAGCAGTCTACGGCCGATTCTCACCCAGAATACTCCATAGCAGATTGCAGTTCTCGTTGTAAGGGTTTGTTCGATCCACATATCAATAGTTGGACAGTTGGAACAGCAAGAGATGCTAATAATGTCGCTGTTGGTGACAGAGACATCTCAAGTGAGTAATTATAAAAAAACTGATATTATATATACTATAAATCCCATGCGATCTGTTCAAATGTAACCCGAACGGTAGCCTATTGCACTTTTGAGAGGATCTATTGTGAAAGTCAGTAAATATAGATGTACACAATGGTTGATAAACATCAATATGGTATTTATATACGCCATTGATTATATATACTACCATCTACCATATATATGTATATAATATCTTAATAATATATCTACTGTATACGCCTGACAACTAAGTCGTCCTTCATGAACCCTCTCTGGTTTCCCCCCTTCGGCTAATACTAAACTACCAACACAGCTAGCCGTCTTCCCGTGCAGTGGCAAGAATGAGAAATTACATGATGTGCTGAAAAACAATTTTCCACAATAACAGCTGAAACCGATACAACATAACGAGCTGTTAGTAAATCGCCTCCACTCAACAGGAAACCATTTATTCTTCACATCGATGAACACCACAAACCAAATGAGTAGTACCAAGAGGACAACTACCCCTTCGTAATGCTTTCCACATAGGTCGTTACCACTCTTTGAGCAAATTACAACTATCACTGGCAACAACGACAAGAGCGATATAGGATAATCATCACGTCATTTACATACTGTCTCGAGAGCCGAGACGTCCTCATTCACACTCAACCAATACCACTCCCTGAAAACATTTGTCGCCTCAACGTGTGCTTAAATTCCCAATAAACTTAAACCGAGAGATTCGACATGAATTCTTGTACGGTTTTTATACTTCTACTCTAAGTCGTGTGTTAATTTCACTAATTTCACTAGAAGAACTTCTGAGCCCAGCGGATGAAAATTAACATATATTCCGAATATAAAATAACACACACTCGAAAACACGTAGTTGTATCAACGTAACACTCAGCGACTTCTACCCAACCATAGAGTGTCTATGAAATATCCATCAGAAACACTGATTCGGAATCAATGATAGAATTACTCCTTGCCGAAGTATGCAGTTCTGAAATCAACGCTGAATTCATTCGAAATTCATCACGGTGCACACAGCAACTTTCAATGGCTCTCCATGAAATCATCATCAAAGTAGTGGAGTTACTCTAGGATATCTCGAGAGTGATCAGTATAAAAAATTGAACGACTCAGCGTATCGGACGAACTCAACAATACAACGTAAGTCGAAAAAGCAGTGAATGTGTTTGTGGTGGAATTAGGCAATTTCACGTTTCAAGTCCAACGATCTATGGAGACTGTTGAAGAACTCTTGAGCGGATATCACATAAGAAGCAAAGTTCATGTTCGCAACAAACCTAACAAAAAAACAACCTCATCGCAATGCTCTCGATACCACACTTTGCTCACATCTCAGAAGCTTCCTCAGCAGTAACCAGCTCAATACCCACGTATTTACATATGCAGTCTAACGCCGTCTTCAACTGAGATGACTCTTTCAACAAACGCTCGCCACTTGCACAGCCATCGGTGGCACCTAAGATAACAACAATAATACTGCGAATTTCGACGGCTAAATTCCATATTTCAATAAATTACAAAGGCAACCTAAAAGCTGTCAAACTGTTAAAGCCAATGACTCATCAGTAATTGTTCCCTATGAATTCCATCATTTTTGTTTTTACCGAAGACTTACGTTTAAAACTCTCAAGGCAAGCTATTTGGAAATCGCCTTGTTGTCTGAGGAGCCGTCCAAGACTCTTCACGGCTTCGTCGTGTTGTTCAATAGAATCATCGCTCTGAAATTATAATAAATATTGATAAGCAATATCAGTGTTGATATATTAATTACATCAGCAGATGTAACTTTTTCTGAATAGCCGTTAAGGTCTACTACGGGTTGGGCGGTCTCTACGATGGTGCCCTTCCACTCCTCTGCGATAAGCTGACCGTCTTCGATAGCCATGGTTATGATTGAAACAGTAATCGGTAAATAATAGAAAGCTTAATCGCTGCGTGATACGGAAAAATGTAGGTCCTGGGAATCGAACCCGGGATCGTCATCATCGAATCAGCGCGAAGAGAATAGCGCTCGCCCGAAACGCCAGGGGCCTAGCTTATTTTTGAGTTTTATCGAAGCACCGCATGGACTTTTTCATGCGCGTCGGTATTTGTGTAGGTGCTCCTTA